TGTGTTGATGCTTGTATTACATTTTATATAAGAAGTAGAATCGCGATAAGCTCTTAACAAACTCGTATATCACGACATATGAACGGAAGTATGTAACGAGAATGTAATAGTATCAATATTTACAGTTGATATATTGTGTACATGTGTATGTGTATACGTATGTGTATATGTATGTATCTGTATACGTATGTGTATATGTATGTATCTGTACACTAACGTGGTCTGTACGTACTCTATGATTTGCATTTCAGACTTCGGTAAATTGTGTCGAGAGAAACAAAATCCTTATGAAAGGTGCAAGTACAGGAGATAAAACAAAACGTACTTTGCGCTTCTCTTCGCTTTTACGTTCGATCTTAAAATAGTATCCGCGTACAAACTATTGAAGTATCATACACTCTTCAATATGGCGTCGAACATTCATACTCTGATTTATATAGCATTCATTTTCGAGAGTTTAAATACTAGATTAGAATCGCGATGTTCATTTCCATTACATTTTTCTCTTTTTAAGTTAGAGGGAAGACTCAAACGAATACTGTTTGGTTCACAAGGTCCGCATAAACGCGAATCAAACGGAAACGTTAATCGAATGAACGAACATATATTAGTTAGAATAACGACACGTATTCCTTAAAAATAATTTTGTTAGGAGAGTAGAGCAGTCTTTTGCATTAGATAAATATCCACAATGCATTACGCGAATACGATTTGAAATATATTATCTACATAGTCCGGATAATTAGTTAAAAAAATTAACTCTATAGAGTACTCAAATAATATTTCAATGACCTTATGGACCCCGTCAGACCAGCTAAGGGTAGGAATTCAGATAAAATATATTTAAAAATTAACTATTTATAACTATTTACCGCGAATCACACATATGAAACATTGGATTGCAATATAAAATAGTGCAAATTACGATATCAGGGGCCTAATTTTTGAAATGTATGCTTACGAAAAATTAGGGAAATCTATAACATATGTAAAGTATGCTATAATATTTTCATACAGTTTCGTATGCGATATTTTCAAGAATTCAGACCCTTGGTCTCGCAGATTATGGAATCTGTGAAAATCCTTTCGCGTTATTTATATATCACGTGGAGACTTTTGAAATCGCTATTGTACGCGCGTATTACGTTCCACCGTATCCGAATAACTTTACATATATGGGTGATAATATTCGGATTGATTTCAATAGAATGCTTTACGTGATAACAAATAGTGCATCTTTAACGTCGATGAAAGATCACTCAATTCCACGTGACTCTCATTCATTCGCTCGTTTTCTTGCACACATCTTCCTCGCATAACGTTTAACAGATCTTACGAGGAACTAGATGATGGACTATCTTATTCAACGGTGGTTCATAAAAAAAGGACAGACGTGTATGCACGATTAGAATTAAGTCCCTATTTCCTTTTACATATCGTCTCTGAATTTCATCGCAAATTTTCGTCACAACAAATTTATAGGATTTTTCTGACGTGAAGAGCTTTCGACAATGCGTTCTCTCTTTTTCTTTCCTATCAAGAGATGTAATATCAAATTTGTGTTTGACTTGATACTCGACAAAATTCAATCTCGCTACAATTGTTTGAGAATAATTCATATTTTTTTGTTACATTTGAAAGTGATTTCATAGTCAGAATTAATTATTTTTGTAGCGATTTGTTTTGAATTGATCGATCATGTATGTTTTAATTCGCACATGAGCAGCAAGGAAACAATTAATTTCGCAAAGAAATTCATCACTCGGCCTTTCCACTCGGCCAGACATCCCTTTGTTCACGTCAGAGGTGCTTTTCCAACGAAGTGTCTGTACTTGTTGCACGCCGCGTACTTGCCCTTCTCCGAAACGATCGACAGACTTGAATGTTGCCCCTGACGTCGACAAAGCGCCTTTCTCGACGACTTTTTATTTCCGTTGCCACAGTCCAAAGCGTATCGCAATTCGCTTGCCATTTCCGAGCACACGGACTTCTGAAAGTTCCACGAAAAGACGATTGCGAAAAGCTCACATATTGAATCGTAAACGAATTGTTCAGCTCAAACTCAAAACATTGAAACTCAAAATTTTATTAATTTTTACTTTCCTTACACAGATGCAATTGAAAGTTAATGCAAGGTAATTTTTATTCAATAAATTTTAGTTGGAAAACTAATCATTTAAGAATCTGTAATAAATGGTTTATAGATGACAGAAGACACAATTGAGATAAAAGATTTATACCCGTATTCATAGTCTTTCCTTATTTTAAGGATGGAAGAAGCCTCCATAAAGGATTCCTCGATTCTTCAAGACCCCCTTGTTTTATAAACGGATCTCAAATCTGCCTTCCCGAAGGAAGGAACATTTTAGAGATTTTAGTAATCTACTGAAAGCAGCATGTTATAATATGAATTACGAATAATAAAGATAATAAAGGCATTGTTGATTAAATAAAATCGTGATTAAGTATTGTTTTGTAACGATAATAGACCAAAATAAAACTAATAGCGAATTCGATTGGACGCACTAAGTGCGCACTGATGCACATTAAAATCGCCGTACATACACAAAATAACGTAAATATATGTTTATAAATAAACATCAATCGTGAAATACTCAATACATTTTATTGTATTATTAGGTAAAATATATATTTCATAATTCGAAATATTTGTATTATTTTTATACTAAAATTAAATCAGTGTACAACTTTAATATGCATCAGTGCTTCCAGTCGAATTCGCCATAATGCTTTTTATACGAAGGAGAAAATGCTTTTGACATAGTTTATTTCCGAAAAAAAAAGTTATTGAAAATAATCGATGCGGCAGATCTAAATTAAAAGCTATCGAAAGTAAAAAGACCGGTGTGACAAAATAAATTTGGAGATTTGCTTGGTTATGAAAACTGCACCTCCTCCTCAAAGAAATTTCCCTGGTAACTTCTCTTGAGAAAAGGAAGCTAATAAGACTTCTTATTTGGACAAGGAAAGTTTATGAAACGTGAAATGAGGAACAAGGAATCCTCATTCCTAAAAAAAAGACTGTGAGGAATACGGGTATTAGATTGTATTCATGAATTAGATCTGGATTATTGTTTTAGGAAAGTTCAATAAAAAATTTTAACAAAATTTTTGTTATATAAATAAATTATTATCTTGTACGTTTATAGAAATTTCAACATTTTTTATGTTAAATTTAATGTAATTTTTATAGCTTCAAGAAAGGATCTAATACAATACTAACACTGAAAAATATAAAAGATAAATGTGCTCACCTCCTGTAAATCCGTGACGGGAGAGAAGCAAGAAACATTGCGACACAACTAACAATGTCATACTAAACTGTCACACAATACGCGTCCTTTCAATTTCATTTACGGCTATAAATAATGCAATATTTCGAAATCGTAATTTCCGTACAAATTACTTCGCCATGACACAGAGATTTGTCTATTCAATAACGAAATTTTGGAAGTCCGCGTGCTTCTTACATGGATCGGAAATTTACATTAAATTGGGGCGAAAGCTGCATGTGGATAAAGATGACTATTTTCTAACATAATATTATACTCGTTCTGTGCATTGGTTAATTTCTTTATTAAAATTTATATTAACGTTTTAAATATCAACATATAAAAGAAAAAGATAAAAATTAGTAATTATATATCCTTCAATGAAACTCTTATTTATAAAAATAAAAAGATCTTGGTGAATCGAGTTCCAAGAATAATCTTAAAAAATTTCAAGAAAATTTTATACTCTTATTTTATATAATAAATATACATAATAAATAATTAATAATAATAATAATAATATTTCATATGATTATATAAAATATCATTATTAAAATAATATTATTTTAAATTAATCGAGAGAACATATTGTTAATTAATATATTTTTAAATATTATTATAATATTATGAAAAGTAATAAATTATTGAATATTCCAATTTTGATAAGAACGCGGTAAATTTCCGGTATATCCACTTGCTCTTTCGGATTATTACTTATGACAACATTATCAATTCGAGAAGCGTACGGACTTCCACGCACACTTACGATCGCATATTGATTACTTCGACAATTACATATTATTTACAGTAAAATGTCTCATAATCTGCTGGTATACTATACATTCACTATCTAGCCGGTATAAAATCGTGATTGTTCTTAAAGTTCGTCCACAGCACTACTAAGTTGTGAACACCGCGGTTTTTGTCTTGATTTTAAAGTATTTTGATGTCGATTGAAACGTTTGCGACTTCGCGAGGAAGGACACGGCCTTTCCTATTGCGAGGTTTAAAGTCTTCGTGTATTAATCTAAGTTTTGATATGAGCAAATGGCAATCACATTGACCTTTCCAATCTTTCATTTATGTCATTTTTTTATTCTGATTATTTATTACGTATATTGCAACAATCATACGTTTTTTATCGAAAAATTTGTACTGCCATTAATTGAATTTCAATAGTGTGGTCGCTATGAATAGAAACAAGAATTTGATACCAAAACAAGAAAGAAAGAAAATTTTCGAAAAATTAAATAAAAAATTATTTATAAATTTTTATTTTAAGTGGTAATTTTTAAGATACTGAAGAATTTAAATTTAACCATCACAGATTAGGTTTAAACAGCCACTAATTATGAGTCTATGCACTATGCGTGCGATAGTATTAGTGACTGTACGACAGGTGATCAATTAAGCATAATTTGTGGTAGCTAGCTTTAAAGTATATGTATATCTCGAACTTGAAATAAAAATTATATATATTTTTCATTTAATTTTTCGAGAACTTTTTTGTTTTAGTTACGAATTTGGGATATTCTATTTTATGATTTTAGAGACAAACTGATTAATCTAACTTGTAAAATGTTGAACAAATTATGAAACAATTGTACTTTTGTGAGCGCTGTAATTTTTAAAGAGAAATATTTCTGTACTTTCCAAACTATTTCATTAAATTATTAAATTGTATTTGACAAAATTTTACGAGGAAAATTGGAAAGATCAAGGCTTGTTGCTTCTTTTGTCCGATTATCTTCGTTTATTCCTATAATTTTATGATCTTTATACAGTTTTCCGATCTCTCGTGATGGAGTTCTTCCTTAGGTCCACTGAATTCGGATCGGATACGTTTTGAGGTACGGCTTGAGTTTAAGAATCTGTTTTTTTCGCAGTGCAGCGCGTACCGTCGCTAGTGCAGATCAGTAAAACCTTCGCAGATCGGTTTCCCCGAGGATTTCTGCTTCTAGAACAGAACACCAAAATGCCCGAGTCAGATTCGTTATATTCAGTCCTTGCTACAATAATCAAAGCGGGAAAAAATGTGCTCTAATTATCTTACTTGAAAGCAAACAAAAAAAATAATTTTTTATTCTATTTATGCTTTCTCATTGTTTTTTTTAATAATATAAGCATATATTGAATTTATTTATCGTTTGTTATCGTATGTAATTTTTTATATGAGCATCGTGATTAATCATTCTTTCACGATGGGAAATAAAGATTGATTTCATGTACAATGAAAACAAAATAATAATTAATACATTTATTGTAATTATTTTTTCATGACTTTTTTTATCTTTTCGATATATTGTATATATTGTATTCAGTATTGTGATAGCAACCGTGATGTCGACGGATGAAACGATCTTCTTACGTATCACAAAAAGTCTTACATATCATAAAAATTCAAGTATGCTATCCGATCTGTCCGAAAGCCCTACTATTCATCGCAGGATGTGAATCTCATTCGAGCCGATCGATATTATCGATTTCAACCGATTTGAATTTTTGTAGAAGGCTTCGCCCTCATCGTGCCTCATCGTGCCTCTCTATAGGAGTACATATAACCCGATTTGAAAGGAGACAGAGTAATACCGACGTCCGTAACCTCATAGAACTGTTTACTTTAGCGTACGTAGGGAATGATCCGCGCAAAGCATATTCGTATTTCTCGACGAGTCCTCCTCAAATAGTTACCTGTTTGCTTCTCCCTTTGAATATATGTAAACGTTGGAACGAATACATGTTGCTTAAACCGCGTGCCGGTCATCGTGAGTGCGCAGCACTGAGACTTTGCATACATTAATTCCATTTTCTCACTCCCGACCAACGCAAGCGAATTTCGCTGGAAATTTTTTCATCAAGTTTTACTGCGTTTCCATGGTCGCGTCTCTCTGTGGTAATCACGACGCTCTCGTATAACGCCAATAAACGTGACTATCTGTTCATTTGTGTATCCTAACAGATCTCTCAAAATTAAAACAACCGATTAAATTTTTTTTTTAACATTAAAATAATAGGAACAAAATATATTTAAAAATGTAAGTTCGAGATTGAATCGTTTAAAATTCAAAATTTATGAAATTGATTTTTTTAAAAGAAGTGCGACAATTATTTAAAGATTAAATTCTTTCAAAAACATTAGTAATTAATTCCACGAAATAAATTTCTAGTAATTTTCTGGCTATGTTTTTTCCAAAAGCTTGAATTGTTTGGATTTCGCTATGTTTTTTTTTCAAAAGCTTGAATTGTTTAAATTTCGTACAAGTCACAAATACTCTGGACATTTCTTTAACGTAGAACAGTAGAGACTCGAAGTGATGATATGTCTTCAGTAACGAGTGAGGACGGACGAACGTCTTGCCTGTCCGACTAACGACGATATTCGCATATACAGCGAGACAATGAGGATAATGACGAATGGAAGTAACGATGCACGGGCGGTAACGATAGTGGTGGAAAAATGAGGGAAATTATGTACGCGTGAAGGCTATAATTTTCGTCGTCCTCGCCAACGACATGTGGATCGTCGAGGGTCTTGAGCCGTGCGAGCGATCAGACCCGAGTGGTTCTGTATCGAGACCATTAGAGAGGAACTCCACCATCGTGCGAATATCAACTGATGTACTCGCGCGGTATGTCTGGATAGATCGCGTCAGGATCAAGTCGTATAGCGGCGGATCCTGAGGCGGTGATTTCCGGCGTGGTTATCGCGCGATCTTCCTCTACGTGCTATTTCACATCACTCACCCGCTCCTCGATGGCTACTTTCCGGCTCTTCCACACAAATTCACAAACTGCGATCACGCAGGCAACACCCATGCCTCCCATCAGCACTACGAAGACTCCGCCGACGTTCGCCAGACCGAGCTCGTTCGCCGCCGAGCTGCTCTTCGAGGTATCGTCCTAACCATGAGAGAAACATCGATTAGCCTGTGGCGCATTAACGCGGACGGTTACAGGTAGAATATAGTCTGCTGCATGGGTAATGCGCCGCTGGGGAAACGGTGGTTTTCGCGTTTAGTCTGTTGTACACGTCGTTAATGCACACGCGGCTTTCGCGCTTGGGTGTTCATTATTGAAGTGGTTCGCAGAGGATTGCACGTCACGGATAATATTGCGAAAATTTGATCTTGCTTACTCGTACTTGGACTGATGGATTAAAGTGTTGAGAGGAGAGTAAATAGCATATTCAGGATTGTTAGCGGTTAAGAAAAATCGAGAAAATCAGAAAAAATTAGAGAATTAAAATATAGTCGGGAAACTCGGGAAAAATCATGGAATTCTTTTCTATTTCGTTAACAGCCCTTTTAAAAAATCAGAAAAAATCAAAGAATTTTTTTCTTTTTTTTTTATTTCGTTAATAACCCTAATATTGATTATTAAGTCTTTTAATCGGCACGTCGCAGTTTTAAAGCGTTCAATCTTTTGATCAATACTTTACACGGAAAAGATTTATATTAATGTGTTAGAAATATAAATTATACTTTCTTTAGTACTACTATTAATACCCCTTTTTTAAATCAACATGAATGATTGTAATTTTAAAAACACAGCTTAAATGTCATTAGATCTTCAGTGTTTTGCAACAGTTGCAAATGGAGATTAATATCGAGGAATTAATTCCTCATTATAATCATCCATCTAACGTTCGTCCATCAAACTGCGGTAAGTTTGCTCGAGTGAGGAGAAGCCGGTGAATTATCGGAAGAATTTATCGGCGTAGCTACGCGAGAAATAGCAGTGCGCGCAACGATGATCGCGAGCTTGGTGAAACCCCGATTTCGTGAATTCGCGAAATAGTCTTCCTCGCGTGCCGCCTCAACCTCTAGCAACTCCTCTCTTCTCTGACGGATGAGGGGAGTTGCTGGAGTCTGGCACAAGAATTTCGAGCGCGCACTTCTTGAGTGCGCTAGCGTGCCAGAATATCCTTCATGAGAAAAGTGAAGGAAATGATAATGGATTAAAAGCAAATTCACACACGGTTTTCTTTTACAAGCCATATTAAAATGGATATAATGGATAAAGAAATTACAATAAAAAAGCCATTAATTAAAATAGACAGGAATTCAATGTAAAAGTATGAAGATCAATAAACCTTTGTTCATTGATTACTATAAAAAATAAAAGGCAGTTATTAAAATTGTAATTAAAATTGTTTTTGTGTTTTTAATAGATATCCTATATCTATTTCAATCAATTTTGCGAGAATATTGTTAAAGTAAGATTATCAATTTCTTTTTCCATATTCATTTTGCATACAAAGAGATATCTGCTCCATTTTCTGTCAAATCTTTTTTTTTTCAGATTTTCTTTAAATTAACTTTTTTCTGTAACATCCTGAGTTAAAGTTTTTCGTAGTTAATATCGTTTTTATATAAGTTTTCTAAAATTTTATCGTAAGACTCGCACATTCTGAGATTACAAGTAAACCGTGTAAATTCGACTTAAGATACGTATTTACTCACTCTGCAAGATCCGCCGCCTCGCTTCTCCTTCCACCAGCGCGTTTTCAGCATATGAAGTTTCCCTTCCTCCTGCAGTTTCAGGATAGCTTCGCTTATGGCCGTTCTATATGGCGAATCTAAAGTTCCAAGGTCGTTTTGAGGAACTCCTTCTAGGCTGCTTTTATCGCCTCATAGCGTCGTACTTCCGCGCAACTTTTGGAAGTACCGTTGTGGCAATCGTTCCCTCGCGCCAACGTTTTGCCGACAATACCGCGCGCGATCGCTTCCTTCATGGCGACACTTGCTATCGATCGGTATTTTCGCGCAGCCGCGAGATCAGCAAAGAGACCGGCAATGCGATTTTATTCGATCTCTCGGGATAAGCGTGGCAGATAAACCAACTAGCTCGTGCGAATCTCTCGATGCGAGGAGGGAACGATTTGCATTTTCTTTCTATCAGAATTTCATTTGCGTGAAGAAGAAGTTTTAATTGAATGAGAATTTCTTTTATTCAAGAGAGTTGATAGGCCGATATAAGCACTTTATACTGTAATATATTGATTGGAGACACTTTTTCTTTCGAATGTCCTATGTTCACTACTTCCATTAATAGGAATTATTGAGATATCGTAACGTTGGAAATTGATAAATAAAATTATCTTTTCTTTTTGCTAAATTATCGAAGTTGTGCATATAATTTTAAATTTCCATAATAATATCCAAGTGAGAAAAAGAGAATATTTCATAAACTCACAGAATGAGTTAAATGGAGTGGAACAATAATATTTACTAGAATATAGAAAAAGCTGATATTTAATATATCAGCCAATATTAACATTTAATACGAAGTATATATTAATATAATATATCGTTCGTTTATACATTAGATTCAACGTAACTAACATAATGATATGTCCCTTAATAATTGTGAATTTTAATGCTCTTATTGATTGTATATGCTGATTAATACTTCGACCACATATTACACATTCATCGATTATTCTAAAATCTTGATTCATCACGTGTTTATATTGCCGAGTAATGTGTTTGAATTGCTGAGATGCGGCAAAAAAGTTAATTAGCACTGTAGCATTTGCATTGAATAGCATAGCTTTGAAATCTACAACTATTCAGGAACATACATATTATGACATATTTGGTTTTCGACCAACACAAATCAACGATATATTAAATTACTTCGTGATGAATTGAAGCATTAAATGTATACTATATAATTAGAATACTCAAATAATAAAAATAAAATATTTAATAAGTTTTTACGAGAAAATATTTAATAAAAAAAAAAACATTTTGTTTTTCTACTTTGTAATATTTTTAATAAGATAGATACATAGACTGATTTATTAGAGATACAAAAATTATTTCAAGAAATTCATATTGATGTTTCCCATTCGCTTATCTTTTCCTTCACGTTTTAATCATCGAACTTCTTTTTATGTTTATACGATTTTCATTTAACAGCGCGTTTGTATGGATCGCATGAATTTTTATTGCAATTCCTTCTGTGGCATGTAGTATACATGTATAAAAGCGTTTCTATTAACACTTACTTGGCGGCATGGCTATGCCGTATCCCTTGGAGTCTAAGAGACCGCCGACTTGAGTAAGGTCGCACTTCCTTTCGATTACGTATTCGATGGAGGTGGATTCCATCAGGAATGCGTAGCTGCCTTTTCCTGAGATCACTCGATCTACACCCTCACCGTTGCTCCCCGTAAATACCGTCGGCTTCGCCGAGTCCATGAAGGACCACATGCGTTGGTACGTCGAGAAATTGGAATCCTAGATCATGCCGAGAATTTTGGTTGAGAACGCGTGCCGTTAAACGATGGAACGTCGAAGTGGAAATTGGTTAACCTCGAAGTAGGCATGCCTTACTTCGGGGGAGGATATCGCGTCTCGCTTACATCCCTAATTGTACGCATCGGCGCTCTCGAATTAATAGGAGAATATTCTCGGGTCGCATCTTGCGGTTCCGCTTTTGCTCCGATTGGAGATTCTTAGCCCGTCAGAAGCGGATTTAACTCAATTACTTGCAGGACTTGAGATAACAATATAGTACTCTATTTAACCTTTCCGTTTAGTGTTTTGACACTTGTACACAGAAAAACAATCATGATTGAGTTAATAAGATATAACTATAGCTTATTTCATTTTTAACTATAATTTATAGTAATTTTATTTTTATGGTAGTAATTATAGCCAATTTTGGTTGCCAACTATATATATACATAGTTGGCAAACAAAATTGACTATAATTATTAATACACACACACACACACACACACACACACACACACACACACACACACACACACACACACACACACA